TAATGTATAATTAAAATTAATCAATAATTTTCAACTGATATTAATTACTATTTATTGATGTTAGTAATAATTATTTTTTATTTATTAATAGTTAATATTAATGAAAGTTATAATTAAAAAAAGTGACAAAAAACTTCTCATAATGTATCTTAAGTAGCGTTTTAATAAGCTAGCTTAAAAATAAGTTAGTTTCCCAATAGTGGTGTCTGATTGGTTTAAGCTTGGCTCCAAAGGTCAAAAATATCAGGAGGTACCAGGTTCAAATCCAAGGAGAAATAAAAATTCTCTTGTGGCCACGGAGATTCAAATGCAATGACTCCGTACTATCTGCAAAACAGGTGGTCGTCTTGGAATTAGTCGGTTCGCATAGCGGGTTAGATATTCATGTTAAAAAAAAAAGTTAGTTTATATTTGTCAAACAATGTATAAAAGCATCTCTAATAGATTATCCAAAATGAAGATTTTAGATATATTTTTTTCCAATAGATTCCTCAAAACTTTCTCCAAAATGGAAAAAGCATGAGAGAGATGGTGAAATTCTCTAAATATAGAGAATTCTCAAAAAATAATTACTTATGAATGGGATATTATTTTTTTATATTTTTTTAGCAACGAGAATCCTTGAAATTAAATTTATAGGAAAGATAAATAATACTTTTATGAAAGCTATCAAATATTTTAATAATATAATTCATATTGTAATCTCCAAAACGAAGAAACTCTTTTAAGATGAATATAAATTTTATTTGGACGATTTAGATGTTGATTCTTTATTTTAGAGAATCTGTTGGAGATGCTCTTTAACATGTTTTACATGTAATTTACTTTTTCTAAATGTACACATGAAATTCACCAAATGTGTCAACTCGACTTTGCACTCAGGTTTCTACTGTCGTTCTTTCATCTATAAACCGACTTTGAAGGTGTGTTATTTATTATAACATTTTCAACAGATCATTCGAAATAGAGAAAAATTATTTTTTTATATTAACTTGGATATCCAACTTGCTATGCGAGTTGACTAATCACATGACGACCACCCGCCTTCGGAGTCACCACATTTGAATCTATGTGGGTATAAAGAGATTTTTATTTCTCCTTGGATTCGAACCCGAGATCTTCTGACACTTTTGATATTTGGAGTTCAAGCTCAAACCAATCAAACACCCTTATGATTGAAAATTTGTTTTTTCTTGCTTCAAAAAATGGGCATTTTCAACCACAAGGGTGGTGCCTGATTGGTTTGAACTTGGCTCCAAAGGTCAAAAGTACCAGGATGTCACATGTTCAAATCTAAAGAGAAATAAAAATCCTTTTGTGGCCACGGAGGTTCAAATGCGGTGACTCCGGGCTGTCTGCAAAACAGGTGGTCGTCATGGGATTAATCAGCTCGTATAGCGGGTTGGATATCTAAGTTAATTAAAACAAAAAAAATGGGCATTTTCCAAAATGGAGAAAAGGTGGGAAGAGGAAAATTTATGCCATATTTGGGGATTATATTTCCAAAATAAAATTTGAATGTTAATGAATAAATTTCCAAAATTGAATTTTGAAATAGAGAGAAAATACATTAATTATTTTTATTAATTTAGAGGAGAGAGAATATCAAATTAATATTTTATAAAAAAATTATCGGAAAATTTATTGGGATATTAAATGTATTGAATATTTTAATAATATTATACTATTCAAAATAAGGTAACTGTTGGAATTAAATGTATTTTATTTTTTAAAGATTTTGAAATTTTCTTCTATATTTAGAATAATTTTTATGGAAAAACTGTTAGAGATAAAGTTGCACATGGGTTGGGGTGGTCGGGTTGAACAATTCAACCCAATGTATGTGGTTTGAAAAATCACAACTCACCTCAACCCAAGCAAAACTACAACTCAACTCGACCAAAACCATGGGGCTTGTGTTGGCTTGGCCATTTTGAAACTGTCATATTGTTTTTACAATTTAGCTGAGCGTTTGTGTTTAAACGAAGTAAAATCAAGATGAAAACACAGAAAAAAGGCCAACAAACTCAAAAAAAAAAAATGATCAAAATAAGAAAAGTAGAAATACGGTTGAAATTATGATATAATTTTGAATATAGTTAATTACGGATTGGTCTAATGTCTAATATACATATAATATCAATTAATTAACCATCATATTAAATCCATAGTATAGAAAGACATCAAGTTAAGTTGGGTTCAGATTACCCTAACCCAATAGATGCGATTTGACCTAATTTTGTATCAACTATGCCTCAGGTTAAGGTTTTTTTTTGGATTGGGTTGGCCAAGTTGGTCAATTTTTTGAACAACCCTAGTTAGAGATATTTTTACCAATCAATAATTTGATCACCTGAAGGTGATTCGCAAAAAAAAACCGAGCACGGTTCCCAATGTTGAATTCTTTCTGTAATATGCTCAAATAACACAATCTATTTTTGCCATTGACTATGCTTTGAAGTAAACCAAACCAAGTGTTACTGTATATCCCACCTAAATATGGGATCTAGAAGGTGTTAACGTGAGATGTACGAGATATGTCCTTTACCTAAAGAGTAAACCGACTGTTTTCGTGAAAATTGACTATACTACCCTCGTAAGGTTGTGCTTGTAGCCTATTAACATGTAACTTGAAACAATTTATTGTCTCAAGACACGGGGACCGTAATGTTCTGAGACTTAGCATCTTGATGTTGGACTTGCTGTTGTAGCCTAGCCTTATACTACCCTCGTAAGACTGTGCTATAGGATCAAAAGGTATCATAACTTTGATGTAACTTTTTTTGCTAGGTTTTCTACTGTTCGAAATCAAGTGTGACGGGTTTTAAATTACACATTATATATCACGTCTCAGACTCGCTTTTAACATGATTGCACCTGTTATTACCCATTTGATATTGTGATCACACACCTTTATTTGGTTAACTCAACCTTAATACTGCAATCATGGGTTATGACTATTTAACCACCCATGCATGGCCAGTAAGAAAACATAAAAGCCTCTGACTCTAAGGCTCGATCTCTTCGTCTCAATTGTCATCATTCAATGTGGTTTCATTGCAACCTAATGTCAGAACATTAGACATGTCCCTTATGTGTGTTCCTATATGTTTTCCTATTCAGAAACCTAAATTCACATTACCTTGATTGAACTATGGTTTGAACAGAGTTAATCCTCTGTTACTATTGTTCTCTAAATGAATCATCGGCAGTATGATCTCATGGAATACATAATCCTCCAATACCATCAGGGTTTTGTGCTGATAATGCTACGAAATACAATACTTCTCCTTTTATCCAAATTATTCGCCAACAGGGCATTGTGCCCCAAGATTGTTTTCAAGGATCTTGTCTCCAAACTCGGTATAGTTCATTGTTCCATATCTTGAGTTTGAGATTGGGGTATATTAGACTCTATATCTGTTTGTGCTTGTTTTATATTAGCTTCACAATATGTATACCAATTTTGTATGTTTATATTTTTTACCTCATGTATAAATACATGTTTTTTTTTTCTTTGTAATGCTATCGTTTTCAATTAATAAATAAAAAAAACAAGTAGGCCTTCAACTGCAAGACTCGATCTTGAGATATTGGATTTGAATCGGTACAGAGAGGGGTGGCAACCGGATGGCATGATGGAGCAAGGGGCAATTGTTGTTAGTACCTCGTCGTGTGTGTGTGTGTGTATATATATATATATATGAACATGTGTGTGTATATACAGAGAGAGAGGAAGAGCGAAAGAAAGAGAGAGTATTATGAATGATATGAGGAGAGAAATAACGGGATGAAGGGAAAATGAGTAGGGCAAGGACTGAAGCGAGCAGATAACAATTAAAAGGGTAATTAAAACTAGAAGGGTTTTAACTGTTTTTTTTTTCTATATTATTTATTTAATAATTCATGTCAATAAATCAAATTATACTCTACATGATTTTGATATTTTATCATAAATCAACATGTTTTCGTCAGTTTATTGTTTTCTACAAATGACACTGCAGTAAATTGACCAAACAATTACTGTTTCATGTATTTAACTCCATCAAAACAAGTGAACGTATTAAGGGAAACCTCCTTATTGTCGTGGCATGCATCTTCAATAACCTTATCAGCCAAGCTTTCATAAAACTTCATTAAAGGTGAGTATATTTCACGCATTTTCATCATATACATATCAGATATCACAAAAATAGTTTATATTTACTGGTTCAAACACTTTGCCATTGCCTTTATCTATCTTTTAAACCCTACCATTGTCTTTATCTGCATGCCTGATACTCGTTCCCAAACCCTTTTATAACCCATAATCAACACTAGATCAGGCGATGCATATTCATTCGTTGGTTTAAAACGTGAATGTATGTTAACTTCCTGGTAACACTCAATACAGTCTGTTCAAATTATAATCCCTTCAAATAAAATGCACATGAAAGAAAACAATGGGTTGTTTGAACAATATATGAGTGATTCTCAATACATTATCTTTACGTATTTCCATCGTATTTTATTGGAACGCATGTTCGTTAATAATCTACACTCACTTTTCAAAAACAATCACGCTTTCAACTGATTGATACATCAGTCGCCATGACGTCTACAGGGTTTAGATTTTTTTGGAAATTGAAATACATCACGCTTTTGCAAATAACAGTGCTTCTTTCCCATTTAAGAAATTTATTTTAAATATATATGAACATAGACCGAAGTCAGTTAATATTTGCATATTCCTTTCTTCAGTAAAAAGTAACAGTATTACATACAACACTGATGATAATACATGGTAAGTGATGTCTAAATTACTTTTACCTACAAATGTTCATCTTTGATAACCTTTAAATTAGTACAATTATACTTAATTTTTGTGCGTTTTTTCCGATTCTCGAATCTATGGATTCCTCAATCAAGATAGCATCGGATAGAGTGATAAGATCATGCATTAACCGCAAAACATTTACTGAAAACGCTTGAAACTGTTGTTTACTATTAAAAAATAGGTGTTTTGACTATCATGACTTCCAGACTGATTATCTCTTAAACGGCTTAACGTTAACAACAATGCAAATATTCGTTGTAAAGCTAACTTAATTTCCTACAAAACCAACACAATTTTATTGAAATTCATCAAGTGTAGCTCAAGTTATGATTAATTGAATCAACCATAGAAACACACCCATGGCTACCATTTTCACTCAAACCTTCATTACAACTTCATCTAATGCATCACTCATCTTGGATTCTCAGCCGTTGATTGAAAACGATCCAATGGAGTCATATTCAAAATGAGACTATCCGTGTGGTAGGTCCATCAGCCAATCAGATCTCAGTATTTGGATATGCCATCAATAAAGTCATATTATTTAAATCCCCAACACCTTCATCATCCTCTCATTCATACCTGCAAATTTTGATCACGATCAAAACGCAAACCCTAGTTAATGGCGACGGAAGAACCAATCGTGGAAACGGTTCATGCCGATGGTGAGCCGGAGGTAGCTGGAGCTGCGGCGGAGGAGAATCCTCCAGTGGAAACAGGTGTGAAGGAAACGAAAGCTAAGAAAGCTAAGAAAACATCTGCTCCGAAAAAACCTAGGAATCCTCCTCTGCATCCTCCTTACTTTGAGGTATTTGGATTACATTTTGTTTGTTTTTTGTGAAATTGGGCTATTGAAAGTGAGTTAATTCGATGATTGATTCGATTTTGTTGTTTTTATCGATTGTGCAGATGATTAAGGATGCCATTGTTACGTTGAAGGAGAGAAATGGTTCGAGTCAGTATGCAATTGCGAAGTTTGCGGAGGAGAAGCATAAGAACCTGCCTGCAAATTTTAAGAAGGTGTTGTTGGTTCAATTGAAGAAGTTTGTTGCCGCTGGTAAGCTTGTTAAGGTGAAGGCATCTTACAAGTTACCTTCGTCTAAAGCTCCGGCTGAATCTGCTCCGGCGAAGAAAAAATCGGCTGCAAAGGCAAAGCCGAAGGCGGCAGCTAAGCCAGCAGCGAAGAAGGCGCCGGCTAAGAAAAAAGCAGTAGTTGCTGCACCGAAGTCCAAGGCTCCAGTAAAGCCGAAAGCGAAAGCTCCTACATCGAAAGCCAAAGCTCCAGCACCGAAAGCCAAGGCGAAGCCTGCTCCCAAGGCTAAGCCGGCAGCTAAGCCAAAGGCTGCGGCTCCTGCGAAGACAAAGCCAGTCGCGAAGCCAAAGACTCCGACGAAGCCGGCGGCTAAGGTTGCCAGGACCTCGACTAGGTCAACACCTGGAAAGAAAGCCGCAGCTCCCAAGCCGGCGCCGAAGAAAGCTCCAGCCAAGAAGACGCCAGTCAAGAAAGCAGCAGCACCGGCTAAGAAAACGGCTGCACCGAAGAAAGCTGGAGCCACTACAAGGAAAGCTAAGAAGTGACAACAGAGTGGTGGACAATGAAATCTGTTTGTTTGTAGGAATTAGCTGTAAAGTTTTGAATGCTCGATGCGTGGGTGTATTTAGATTCTTTATTATACCCATGAAAAATTTATAGAGTTTGGATCTTATCATCATGTTGCCATATAAACCAGTCATTAGCTATCTGATCATAACAAGATTCTGGTAGCCAGATCTTCCATGGTGAAATTTTTAGTTGTTTCTCTTGTTCGTTTTGATTGGTAAATCTTTATATTGGATTATTATTATAGAGCTGCAACTAATTTCTTCACATTTTGATGTTTGTATTTGGATATGGAGATCACAATTTCTGTTTACAGGTTTGTTCGACGAGGGTGTTGTGTGGTGGTCGGCGCGTGTGGGAATCCTGACGTGGCTGTTGGAAAAGGGCGTGTGTTACGACAACGACTTGAAGGAAGTGACAGAATTGTGGCTAGGTAAACGTAGATGGTCTAAAACGTTTCTTTTCGCGCGTGTGAGTTACCGCCTTTGTTAACCCTCCCTTGATTACTTTTTTGCCCTTCCAATTGGTTTGTAATTGTATAGATAAAGTTGGTTTTGTGGATTAAACTGTGTAGATTGTGAATGTTTTTCTGTGAATAAAGCCATCTTTGTGGGTTAATTTGTATGTTTAGATTGTGAATGTTTTTATTTAGGGTTTTTTCACATTTGAGAGGAGTGTGTTTTTTAATTAATTCAGATGAACTAGTTAGTAAAAAACTTGGTTTTTATGCGTAAAGTTTCCCCTAAAATCTTTCCTTCTTGAATCTTACTAAATAAGTCATTTTCTACGTCATTAAGCCACTACTAAAAAGTCATATAATAGGTGATCGAATAAACCGTGAGTCCCATTAAACTGCTAACAAACATGCCCTAAATCTTCCATGAATAAAGTCTGTCTCTGTGAATGAATTTGTCTGTATAGCTTATGAATGTTTTTGTTGGGGAGCGCTTTTTCTATAGATGGAAGCAACATGTTTTTTAATTGGGATCAAAAAGCTTCCATTTAAAATCTTATTGAATAAACCACTTTCTATATCATTAAGCCACTACCAATTAGTCATGCATAGCTGACCGCATAAGCTGTGAGTCCCATTAAGCTCATCAAGCTGTTAACAAACACGTAAGTTGTTGATAAATGTTTGTTTCGAATAAAAATGTATTGTTGTTTGAGGGAGGCAAAGATAGAGAATTAGATTATTTCGAAGGGATTTCTAGTATTAGTTTGTTTGAGGTGGCTTGATGGGGAAGAGTGAGGGTGCTTGCTGATTCCATGAAAATATGTGAATTGTGCTTACATTACTATCTAAAAGAGCCTAGAAATGAGTTTCGACATATATTTAAGAGAAATGGTCTAAGGCACCTGAGTTCATGAAAATATGTGGTCTTATTAAATTACTTTCTAAAAAGAGCCCAAGATATATTTAGGATAAATGATCCAAGTCTAATGGACTCCAACAAGCCCCTTCAACGGAGTCTAGACAGACACTGATTGTCGTGCATTGAGTTGCTTTGCTTGTAAACCTTTGTTATGATACCATGTGAGAATATGCAAAACATATTAAATTACTCTCCAAAAGAGTTCCAACATATATTAAGGAGAAATGGTTCAAATCTTGCCGACTTGAGACTCCAACATTGAGTTTCAGCTCTGAAGGCTGTCTTTTTTGTGTTGTGTTTTCCTCTTCTTTCACTCATGAATTCCCCAGAAATACCCTTTATTATTTAGACGAACGTGATTGCAAGCGTAGAAGAAAATTTGAAGTTGAACCAAGTCTGAGAAAAAAAAATGCATTGATGGTTGGAAATTTGTTAATCAGAAGTGGAATAAGACCTTAGACTTCAACACCCCTTAAAAAACAAACAACACCTTAGTGTGGGGGATCAGAAATTTTTGGAGAATCTTGCACCAATTAATCGATGCTATGAAAATGGGAACTTCTTTGTTGAGTCTGCTTCCTGTTACATTTAATACTGTATCAGTACTTACCTTCTGGTGATCATAATGTTCAGCCATCTTAATCCGGGTTCATTTGCTTGTTTAACTGGTTTTCAGGGTTTGTGAACACGACGAGATCAGAGCGAATGTGAAGAATGGCATGTAAGCATACATGTTCTCTTTTCATCTTATAGAATATAATTGATTTCATATTTTTTCAATTACTTTATATGGATATTCTCTCGAGTAGTAGTTGCTAACATGACATGGCTGCTAGATTCATGTTAATGATTTGGAATATCCGGTTTGGTCTTTCATTTTGTTGAGGTCCATTTTGCTTACTGTAAGTTTAGGGTTGGTTGATTGCGTTTTGTTGTATGGGTTGCATCCCATTTTGGTGATGAGAGGTCAATCTTTGGCATTTCTTTGCTTAGGTTACACTGGTGTACCCAACTGTGAGATGCCTAATAAATGAAGGTTGATTTGGCCATCAATCACATTACTGTTATCAACTTTGCGACCCATGTCACACTAAACATCTAATCTCACCCGCAAGTTGAGTTGTAACTAATGCATGGAATTGAAGAAATTTTTCATAAGCTTCTGATTTTTGTAAATTGGGTACGCCCATACAAAGTGAGTAAAATCATGAAGTAAAACAAGGTAATAGCGATTGGCCATTTTTGCTCAACACAGGAAATGTTGCAAGATCATTATGTATCATATCGAAAGGTGCATAAGTAGGAGTTAAAGATAAGGATTCTTGGAGATGGACTAGAGAAAAGATCTACCTACATTTTACCCGATAGACCCTACTTTCAAGTGGGATATACTATTTACATTTGGTTTGGAAGTGGTTCAAGGACCAGACAAGTGGAATGAATGTTGGTCGGGATGGAGGGTAGGGGAAACACTTGTCTAGAGAAAGGACGTGGTTAGAAGTCAACATATTCAAACCAGAGAAATGTGATTTGTTGATATCTATAGGTTGAGACCAAATTGAGAGGTTCAATGGCAACTCTTAGAAATCCATGTATATGCAAATGTGGAATATTAGGGCCAGTTTGGTTTGTGGGACTTGGTGGGATTTGTACTTGGATTCCATTCTAATCTCGAGTTTGGTTTAAAGGAAAGTCTGAAACTGAAATCCCACAAACATTGGATTTAGAAATTCCATGGGGGTAGTTGGTATTTCGTGGGATTTCATAGGATTTGTCTGTAATAATGTTTAAAAATATGTTAAAAACATTCGTTTTGTAATAATCAACTAATAGAAGGTAATTAATTTATTTCTGTAATTATTTATAATTTGTTTTTATAATGGAATTCAATTCCATTCCAAATCCTACAAACTAAACACATCAAAGATTCCAAATCCTTCAATGAAATCCAAATCCCTAAAAAATATGATCGAACTGGCCCTAACTGTATTATCTGCCGACTTGGATTGTATTGATATGTGGGCATCCAAGTAAATGTAGGAAGTATTTTGATTGGTAAAAACAGAGAAGGAAAATGAAGTTAAAGGTGAAGAAGAGGTGTTAGTTAAAAATAGCATTAGGGGTTCAATGAAGTAAACTTAACATCTATGTCCAAAAGTTTAAAATGCTAATGATTGCAGTCAAACTGAATGAAGTGGCTTTAGGCATTATGAACAACTTCATTGATATGCCTGTTGTTGATCAACTATATCGTTAGTGTTGGTTATTAATGATCATATAATATCTTTAACTGTTTGACTTGGTTTTCGAACCACTGATGAGATGGTATGCATGCTGTTTTTGGTCATGCTCTATAAGTTATAGCATGGTATGGTTTAAGAGGAGCTTCATAGCTATTTGACAAGATGCAAGGTGTTTTCCTTGATCTTAGAACCACATGTTTTTGGAAGAATCCCTAGTTCACATGAAGCAAATAGATGATGCATTCTTATGCTTGATCTATTAGGCTCATTGAGTTGATTTGAGTTCATACACACACATATATATATATAGGTCGGGTTTTGGGGGAAAACCACAAAAAATGGAGAACAGAGGAATACCTTAATAACCATTCGTTTGTCAGGTATACACATATGCATAAAAGTAAAATTGTCCAGTATGCACATGTGCATAAAATGTACATGTGCATAGAAACCGGGAAACATTTTTAATTACTTTTATGCATGTGCATATTGGACAAATGAATGGTTATTAGGGTGTTCCTCAGTTTTCTATTTTTTGTGGTTTTCCCTAGAACTTGAGTGTATATATATGTGTGTGTGTGTCTTTTAGTTTATCAATATCATCCATCTCCTCAACTTTCGAGAATTTCTGGCACAAAAAGCAGTTGGATGGAACCATATGACCTATTAGTGTACGACGACGAAAAGAAATGTCGAAGTGTAGTCAGGGTCAGTTCTTGTTTTCAACTTGTTTCTTTCAAATGTTTTTCTTATTTTCTTTTTGTGCAATTTAAATCTGCATCTGTTTTTATTCCACGCTATGCACTAGCCAGGAGTCTTCACGGAAATAACCACTCCTCTCTGGGTGAAGGTCAAGTTTGCATACATCTCATCCTCCCCAAACCCCACCTTCAGGTGAGATAAACTAGGTTTGTTTGGTTTGTAAAGTATAGAACGGCTATAGTATTTTCTACCAAAGACATTCTTGACATCAATAAACTTGAACTTGGTGTTTGCTTATATGAAATAAGTTATATCTAATTTGGTTTTACAGTTCAAAAGCTTTCATCTGAATAGATATTTGATACATAATAAGACATTCAATGTTCCCCAATTGGAATTTGCAGAGATCTAAAAATGTAGTCAGCATCACATCCTTTTCACTATGCATTATTGCTTGTTGCTGCTTTCAATTTTCTGAATTGAATACTTTAGCTCTTTCTGAATACTCAATCTTGTAGGTGACATAACAATGTCATGCCAAACCGAGCCACTTTTATGGGCTGGATTTGGGTGCTTATAAAGTTCGTATACTGAGTCTGCTTTCTCGTTCAACCCTTCTATCAACTTTAAGCACGATATCTCATCTGGATCCACCAACAATGTCTTCTCTTTGTCTTTCCATCCTATCAACTTTAGAGACGGGTTTTTCATTTATTTCACATATTTTTATCGAAATAACAAAGCTATGGATTAAAGAGAAATATATATCTATATATATAGGGGCAGGTTCAAATGAGAAATGTAAATATTTTGAGAACCTGATAACCAACTATTCATGCTTTATTCGTGATGAAAATACATGATATTCATGATAAAGTTGTATGATATCAAGAATTGTGAAAATGTATGTTGTTCATGATTATTTAGGGTTATTCATCACGAGTATAATACATGAAATAGTTGGTTCCCTAGTTCTCCAAATATTTATGATTCTCAAAATATTTATGGTTCTCATTTGAACTCCCCCCTATATATAGGCATAATAAAAGAGAACCTCAAAAAGGTTGAGAACCGTGAATACCAGTTTTCATGTTTGTTTCACATTGTGAAACAATGCATGGGAAAAATTCAATGTTGTTTCACAATGTGATTATTTATAATGTCTATTTTCATTTCACATTGTGAAGCAGCACCATACATTTGTATGCCTTGTTTTACGTTTGAAACAACACATCGTCAGTGGTTTTCACGGTTTTCAACCTTTTTGTGTTCTCATTTGAGAGTACCTTTGTGTGTGTGTATGCATACATACATAGATATATACACATACATACATATATACACATACATACGTATACATACATATACATACATACATACATACATATACATACATACATATATATATATATATATATATATATATATATGAAGCTAGATATACCTTTGGTGGTCCTTCCAGATCATTGGTTAGATATAGCCTGGCATTATCTACTAGTTGGCAATATGTCACAAAGGCATTGGCAAACCTCTTGTGTGATGTTAACTGTGACCTGACCCTCACAGCCCTTCTACACATGATTGCTCTCCTGTTAACAATTAAGCAAACTTGAACAATTGGATGACTTAAATTTGGTTATTAGAAAATCATTTTCATTACATTGATGCTTATATCATAGTAAAATTTTATTTAATACTCCTTCCGTCCCAAAATAAATGACAATTTTACCCTTAATAATAGAGAGGCTAATGAATTTCTCTATCTCATAATTAAGGGTAGAATTGAAAAGTAGACAGTTAGGGGCCATTTACCAAATGCTTGTGGGCAATAGTCAACACCCTCACTCTTACCTTGTTGGGTAACATTCTCGAAGTGTCTTTTACCCGGTAAATGCTTACCTGTAAGAGTCTATTTCCACACTTACCAGGTAAGATTATAGGTCCTTGCTATTCTTCTTACTGGGTAAGATTCTTGGTCCTTGCCATCCCACCGCTAAGGCAAGTGACACCAAGTAAGTAGTAAGCACTTACCAGGTAAGCATTTTGTAAACGGCCCCTTACTGATGATAGTGGATACTTATTTTGGGACAAACTAAAGTAGAAATGTAGACACTTATCTAAGTACCTTATGCCTCTTATGACAGCTAAATAAGCATCGCAAACAACCCCGACTAATTCTATCCTGTATGGTCGTCTCCTCTCATTACCGTCTAAAGGTTCACTTTCTTCTTCAAGCTGTTCCCAGTAGTTTTCTGTAACACTTCCGTCATTATTTACTTTGTATCCAGCTCCCATTCGATAGCGTTTGCGATGAACATTTCTTGCCATAGTTATTGTCTGCACAACAAAGGGAACCCAAGAGAGTGTTCCATCCATAATCACATCTCTCCCTTCATTTAGTGCTGTTACAAGGAGGGATGATGCTGCATCCGTGGACGATTGATGGACCTGCGATCATACCATTCATGTCAGGTAAATCAATTATTCTTTTTGTTTACAATAAAAGATGGATATGAGTTTTCTGCTTCAAACATTGGATTATTGCTGATTGAAATAGTTTTTAACTTTTTAATCAATCATTTTGCCAGTTTGAGTGTTCTGTGCTCCACTTCACAGTAACTTTAGTGAAAAACCAAGTAGGGTACTTTTATCCCTGTGAGAATATATGGAACCCCAATTACTCTCCAAAAGAGCTGTTGAGGAGATAAGTCGGGTTTAAATATATATTGGAGAGAAATGGTTCAAGTGTAGATGATGTGGAGCTCTTAACACACCCGCTCCAACGGAGGCTAGATGGGCATAGATTGTTTAGAGTGTTGAGAGGGGGCTAGACGAAGAGAAATTGCTTCATAGTGTCGAGTCCCTAGAGTAGGTAGACATGGCTTCAATACCATCCAATAACATGTGAGAATATGTGAAACCCCAAGATTACTCTACGAAAGAGCCTTCGAGGAGAGAAGGGAGTTTCCAACATATATAAAATAGTGTGGAACTCTAACACGCCCCTCCAATAGAGGCCAAAAGGGGGCTAGACGAATACAAATTGCCCCAAAGTGTCGAGAGAGTGGGTAGACTTGGCTTTGACACCATGCTCATAATATGTGAAACTTCTATATTACTCCCGAAAAGAGACATTGAGGAGAGAAGGGAGGTTCAAGCATATATAGAGGAGAAATGGTGCAAGTCTAGCCAATATGGGACTCTAACAATCCCACATAGCAATGATACTCACATAAAACGCGTTGGAACATATTAGGGGTTTCTTGTATGCATAATATCATAGGGATACCTCAATTACTTCTACTCCATATAGCATATATACACACATAGACAAAGTGGGTGGTTTGTTTGAGAACCATAGAAAATTGGAGAACTGGAGAACCTGTACATTCATTGATGCAAATATGCTAATGGATTTCAGCGAGTATATGCATCAATGCATATGTAATTGCATGCATACTAGATATGCATTGATGAATATATTCATTGACTAAATGCATGCTTTGATGGTGTATATGCATCAATGAATATATCGGTTCTCTAGTTCTCAATTTTTTTTGTGGTTCTCACGTGAACCTGATCCTATATACATATATTGATATATATATATATGTATATGTGTGTATGGAGAGAGAGTACCAGTTCAGCTGTTTGAAGCATGTCATGATGGCCTCTGGAACTCAGGGCTCTGTAAATGACGTCAGTCTCTTTGAAGGCATCTGCCTCAATTACAACTGCATTTGCTGATGCTCCTGCCCAAAATGGTCTGTGTGCATTCATTAGAAACCTTTGTTTTGTAACTTTTTTAAGTTCTAATATTGAACAAAAATTGATATTTATTAATGACAAAGTTTATTCAACACTACTCTTGTTCTCTTTTACTCGTTTTGACCGGTAACCTGCTGATGTTGTAATATGTGATGACGTGTATGCCAAGTTTATCATTCACTTTGCTATAACCGATTTATAAACAGGTATCCACATCATCAAATGTTACAAGATCAACATGTTACATGTCAAATTGGGTACAAATAGGAAATTTTGGATCTTTGTTACATTTGAGAAGAAAAACTAATTCTTTGTTACAATGAATAGGAACTAGGGCAAACATTGTTGGATTTTGTCCGAGAAAATGTTGCAAATGCCCATGGGATGGAGCAAGTGATTCATATAGCATATTCGTGACTTTTGCTTACTCTTTAATGTGATAAAGTTTGAAAATTTTGTATTTTTTTACCTGTTTTGACCGGCAACCTGCTGATATTGTCAAATTTGATAATGTGTATGCCAAGTTTATCATCCACTTCAACATACCCGTTCATAAACGGGTATCCATGTCATCAAATGTTACAAGATTGACAGGTTATCTGTCAAAATAGGTACTCCCTCCGTCCCAATATAAGTGTCCACAATCGAAATGGCACACAATTTTAGGCATGCATAATTATTACACTTTTTTTGTTAACCAAATGACATATTTACTCTTATTTCATTTCTTTCTCTTCACAACTCTTAAATATTTGTGCATTAATTGAGGGTAAATTTGAGAATTTGGTTATATACTTTTGAAAGTAGACACTTATTTTGGAACAAACATAAATAGAAATATGGACACTTGTTTTGGGACAGAGTGAGTACAAAATAAGAAATTTTGGAATTTTGTTACATTTGAGAAAAAAATATCTTCGTTATACTAAAACAAGAACTAAGGCAACCGTTGCTGCATTTTATCCAAGAAAAATACTGCAATTTCCATGGGATGGAGCAAGTCATTCATATAGCATATTCATGACTTTTGCTTACTCTTTAAGAATGTCTTTAAGAACTGTGCTTTTTCCAGCTCCCATGCCACCACCCATAAAGAGGAGGACCGGGCTTCGATCTTTGTGGGCGACCGGAACCATAACATGCGTACACTCTGAATCATCCGCAGATACAAGGCCTATCGCTTTCATTTCCTCCACCAGAGTGTTGAACACTCTCGCCACTTTCAGGTTCTTCGTCACCCTCTCAAATCTCTGTTCTCTGTCTCATTAAAAACAAACCCCCAAATGAAGATTTCATTGTTATTTGAATCATAGCAAGCTTTTACAGCATTCAATGGCAAAATATTGTTATGACCCTGGCTATGTTTGGCAAACTAGCTAATAAGTTACCTAGTGGCTTATAAGCTACTCCCTCTGTCCCAACGTAATTGTCCACATCTTTTATTTATATTTATCCCCAAATAAGCGTCCACTTTAAAAAATGGATAGCTAAATTTCCAAATCTACCTTTAATGCACAAATACTTGAGAGTTGGTAAGATATAAACAATAATCGAGGGTAAGTTGTCATTTGATTAACTAAAAAATGTAATAATTATTCATGTCTAAAACTGTGTGCCATTTCTATTGCGGACATTTATTTTGGAACAGAGGGTGTAATTGCTAAGCTAGGTGTTGGCCTAAAAGGTAAATGTTGGCTAATAAACCGATAGCTAATAAACTAACATTGTTTTTGGTAAAGAAAATAGCTGATAAGCTAGATGACAGATTTAAAATGACTTAAAATGATATGTTGAGAAAGTAATTGGAAAAATATAAGGGGCGTAATTGAAAAAAAAAAGATGGAAAAAAGTTATGGAGCTTAATGAAACGCTACTCTTTAAAAAGCTAGCTCATGGCCAGCCAAACTGGGTTTTCCGGTTCAAAAATAAGCCAGCTTACGGTTTTCAAACATTGCCTTATAATCTGTTCTTACACATGCCATTTGCAAAATATGCCTTCAGTGACATCTGCTTTAGGTGTGTTTTTAGGATATCTTTGGTTGTATATCACAAACAGACCTGGTGGCTTGCATGACTATGTCCTTGAACTTCCTTCTTGGCTCTTGAGTATCAGAACCAGCCAATACCTGAAATTATAGGCCAATAAATCATTTTTATTCGATCTAAAACCAAACGAAACAAACCCAGTAAATCCCACATAGAAGTAAGGTATGGGGGATAGGATGTGCACAAACCATGCCTGTTGGCACTACTCCAGAGGGTAGACTGTACTAGGGGTGGACTTGGTACGGTACCAAGTTTATGATTTTTTTCTCCAATACTGTATACCAACCGATTATAATTGGTATATATATACCAACCAATCAGCTATGCTTGATACCAACTTTTTTACATATATGAACACTTGTCATTTTGTTTGAATTTTGAGTGACAATTTGCTTGATACCAACTTTTTTACATATATGGATTTGGATATGGATAAATATACCTGACTCATCATGAAATGAGCATTGCTCCAATGAAATGCGAAATAACTGAGAATGCATCTCTCGAACTCCTCCACGAGCTTTATGAACAATGAATCTGCATCTGGCTCTTTCGCGAAGAACAAATACATCTCTTCCTCACATCCTTCGGCTTTCCTGATATATTCATCCGCTAATTTGAACAGGTGCGGGCACTCTTTCCGTTCATTGAATCCCATTTGTCTAGCTGCATGCATGCACATGTACGTACATTTTATACTTTATGTATGAGAACATACACCTTTCGGATGAAATATACTGAGTTTGTTTGATTTGAATAATGAGCATATAACTAATGTTGGTCTGGTTTATATTGATGTTACCTACATTAACCAAACCAAACGAACCCAATATATATATATATATATATATATATATATATAGTGCAGCTGAAAATAGGGTCTGAATGAATGCAGACGTACATATTGATCTTACCGACATAGTGAGGGAATATCTCGAGCTGTATTGGTTGGCCAGTGTCTGAAAGGCGAATCCGTGGGATGATTTGATATCGTCTCCTTCTGGAGCCAAAATGCATGGCTGCAGCAATGGTTAAACCGATGGAAGATGCTACAATGATGTGTGTATACGTCGGTTTATCACCGGCAACGACATCAGATATGCCTGCAAATTAAACGGATTATTCATTTTGATTTGGCAATATTCATATATGAATGATTAAAAAGAAAAGGTTGGAATTGTGAATTACCAGCTTCCGGCATGAGCCTAGTTGTGAGTTATAAGTTTGAGATGAATGTTTGAAGAAAATGGATGAATGATTTGTCTGAGAAATGTTGAGATCTGCAGAACTAATCAAATGGAGAGCGAGAGAGATGGAGAGGGAAATTGGTTAGGAGGGGGGTCAAGTGTAACACACATACATATATATATATATATATCAATATATATCTGTATATATATCAATATATATATATATGTATATATATCAATATATATATATATATGTATATATATCAATATATATATATATGCAGTGACGGATGCAGAAAAAAATGTTGTAGGGGGCACGATATAAAAATCTTTCCATTTGATTTGCTTAATTGCCTACAAAATTACCCACAAAATTAACCAACAAAATTAACCTAAAATACCTAACTAACCTAAAGCATTTACCAATTACCACAAAATTAACCAACAAAATTAACCTAAAGCATTTACCAATTACCACAAAATTAACCAACAAAATTAACCTAAAATAAATACCTAACCTAAAGCATTTATCAATTACCACAAAATTAACCTAAAATAAATACCTAACCTAAAGCATTTATCAATTACCACAAAATTAACCTAAAATAAATAACTAACCTAAAGCATTTACCAATTACCAATAACTAATTACTACAAAATTAACTTAAAATACTACTAATTGAAAACTTAGAAGATGGAAATTAGAAATTTAAAATATTTATTTACCAAGAGGCACAGCAGTGAGCAGTCAGAGGGGCCTCTTGCTCATATTGTTGGGGGCCCAAAGTAGAGTTAATTAAAAAATACAAGTAATTTTTTTTTTTGGCTTTGTTGTTAAAATGTTGTTGGGGGCCCAGGCCCCCTACCCCCATAAGGTGCATCCGCCACTGTATATATGTATATATATCAATATATATATGTATACACACATTTTTTTTGAGGTCTCTGTAAATCATAATATCTCTGAGAACCAATGTAGCATGTGTTATTTCATATGATTTTTTTTTTATCTATGGCTAGAATTTAGTATAATGATTGACATATATTTGTTTTGCATGTACTTGTTCATAATGTGAACTTTTTTGACATGTTTGTAAAATAAAAAATACATGTAAATTTTTTCACATTGTGAACCGAATATATATAAAATAAAAATATAGTGAAATAAATGTATGTAAATCAATATATTAAAAAAAACTCTAACGAACTTTCTTATTTTAAATGGTTTAGTGTTAAACTGTTTTTTTAAATGAAAAAATCATTGAACTTTTTTATTTTTTAAATGATTAAGTTCAAACCATTAAACTTCACATTTCTAACAATTAAAACCCTAGATTTTAAAACATAAATAAATAAATCAATGAACTGTGATGGTTTATTTATTAAAAAATATGTAGGGACTTAATCAATCAAAATGAAAAAGTTTAATGGTTTTTTCATTCAAAAGAAAAAATTTAATAGTTTTTTAATTCAAAAATATAGTTCTGAGACTTAAATCATTTAAAAAAAATAGTTTATGAGCTAAACCATTCAAAATGAAAAAGTTTGTTAGTTTTTTTTGAAATTTTTCCTATATTAAATTATATATTTTAATGATATGAAACAAACCTTAAGATAGAAGTTTTCCGTGGATCCAACAAATTTTGAAGTTTTTAAATGATTAAGCCTACACACACACACACATATATATATATATATATATATATATCATAGGTGATCATTTGTGGTTTTGGATGGGCCACGGGCGTGACGTAACATATTTTCGTTGTCCACTGAGTGTCTGAGTCTAATATAACAAACTCAAGCCAGTTTTTACGGGATTGAGAACTTGTCCACTATAAATGGGCCGGACTTGCCAACGGACCTAAATAATTACATTTGAAAACTTACATAGAATAGTAAATTAATTTAAAATTATCCAAAATACATAAAAAAAACATTTTAAAAACATAAAATATACTAATGTACGGACAACTTAAAAAAGTATGTTTCATAAAATATAGAGTTGTACTTTTCATATCCAAGAATTATCACCTTTTCAAATTTGGATTATTCAACAACAAAATATTTAATCACCTAATATTTCAAGATTGAGGTTCGAGTCATACTATATGACACCAGATATAGTATATACTTGGGAGGTGGTCGATACTCAGTAGAGGGAGTCCAATCCAAAACCACTTCTAGACTTTTTTTTATAAAATATTAATTATACAAAAAATTTAATTGATCACAATTATATACTGTGACGGCCGACCGGGCCCGTCCAAATTTATATTTTCATTGCCCAAGCTAGCCAATTAATTTGAACGGTCTTGCTTGATCCCACCCATATTATTAAAAAATGGTTGTTCAAGCCTGCATTTTCTAACAGGTTGGACAGACCAGGTCTAACGGACTTGTCCGCCCATGAACAACCCTTATATATATATACATAGAGAGAGATACTTGGGATCACATGAGACCAACCTGTTTTCGTGAGACTCATGAGACTACTTTTTTACACTTGAAACTTCACAAAAAAACAATGTGAAGATAACCTTCACAGTGTTTTTGCTGTGAATGTTCGAGTTTTTTTTAACTTCACATTGTTTTGCTGTGAAAATTCAAGTGTAAAAAATGGTTTTATGGGTCTCACGAAAACAATCTGATCTCATGCAAACCCAATCAAATATATATATATATATATATATATATATATATAACTTTTCATAGAATTACCTACTTTTATTTTCTAATGGTTGTTTCTATATGAAAAAATATATTTTGATTTATTTTTCTCCTAAAAAATCAAAATTTTGTAGTTTGTAAAGTTTTAGACGAATCCGACATTGCTAATGAATAAGAATGATGTGCATAACTGCATATACGACATACAGTGAGTAACTCCAATCGACATGACATGTTTTAAAACCGTGATATATGGTTGTGCCTTGCTGGTAGGACGAGTAATATCACTACATTAGTTGATGTGTGGTCGTTTAAAGTATTATGTAAAGGACAAATTATGTGCCAAATTTATACTTAATTTTATTTTGGAAAAACATAATCAACGTTTTTACACTCCAATCGACATATTATGTGAGACTAACATGTTTTCGTGAGACCCGTGAGACCACCTTTTTACACTTGAAACTTCACAGCAAAATGCTGTGAAGGTGACTTTTTTTAACCTTCACAGTGTTTTTGCTGTGAAGGTTCGAATTTTTTTAACCTTCATAGTGTTTTTGCTGTGAAGGTTCAAGTATAAAAATGTGGTCTCACGGGTCTCACAAAAACAGGCTAGTCTCACGTGAACCCAACCCTATATAGAGGAGCGTTCAAATGAAAACCGCCTCCATTTGCGTAAACCGTGTAAACCAATCTCATCCATCCATTTTCTTGATCAATGGTCAAGATTAGTTTACTTTATTTTAGGAAATTAAAAATATATATATATTAAAAATTTATTTTATATCCACAATAAGAGCAAAATGGTAAACAAAAATACATTATATTCAAGGCAACAATATCCTTCATATCATATTATAAATGAAACTATTTATTTTGTAAAGCAATATATTATTTTTGCGTTTAAATAACATCCATCAATAAAATATATCAAAAAAATAAATAAAACACACCATATTCAATTCTATGTAATGAATAATTTCAAAATTTGAATTACATTATATGAACGAAATTGGTTTCAAAATTTCATTAACAAACTAATCAACGTAATACTGATCATATTTTGTAATTTTCATTGTACTGGTAGATGGATCCATTACATTTAGATAACGAAAATTTTTCATTGTTTACTGAGTTCATAAAATTTTATAATACAACATGAAATAGTTTCATTGTCTTAACTGTTTACTGCGTTCATAGAATTTTATGATAAAACATGAAATTTAACTCATGGTTTGATGCGTCATTTGTTATTTCATCGTGAAATTATTTCATGAGAAATCGCCTTTATTATGCACCCGTTTCATTTACCATTTCATCTACTGAACGGATCACCTACACCATCATTGAAATGGTTTCACCATTAAAGCGGTTCATGACTTATTGTTCAATTACGTCATGAACCAGTTTCCTCTTCATTAAAACGTTATATCTACTAAACGGATCCACTACAGCATCCCTGAAACGTGGTTCACCATGAAACTAGTTCGATAGTCATGAAATAATTGGAACATGAACCAGTTTCACTTTCATGAGCCTGTTTCATTAACATTAAACCTGTTATTTCACTTTTGATTCGATGCATTCTTTCCTTTAATCATCACAATCTTCAAGATTCATGAAAAGATTACAATCTTCAAAGATTCCGAAGCAGAATCATCATGTATTCGTTTCATCATACATTTAATTTATAAAGAACTAAATACATTATGCATTCGTTTCATTTTAATTTTACCAACTAAACGGATCAACTCCATCGTCAATGAAACATGATTCACCATGAAACTAGATCAATAGTCATGAATCAATTAGAACATGAACCAGTTTCACCATCATGAACCTGTTTCATTAACATTAAATTTTTTATTTCAACCTCAAATTCAGATTTCATTCCATAAGGTGATCGAATTTTCAGCATACGTTTCCAGATTCAATTTAATAACAATATATTAAAATCAAAATTTTAATATTATAATATAATAAAATATTTAAATGTTATCATTTATACAATTTCATTTATTACGTTTCCTTATTTAATATTTATTAATAACTTCCATATTTAATATAAAAATATTGTAAATGAGCGAAATACCCTTATTGATTAAATTTAATTAGAAAAAAATAGAATTTTTCTATTGATCGAAATTGGTTTACACGATTTTTTAAAAATGTACGGTTTTCATTTGAACGTGCCTCATTATATATATATATAGGGTTGGGTTCACGTGAGACC